TCCACACCACTGGATTGAAGTAGATAACGTTTGCGCGTTGTTTTTAAAGTGGTGTCCCAATAGGCCTATATCCACTCTGTAAAATACAAAATAAATTAGAGTATATTTGAGAATGAATAATAATATAATAACATATCAGTAAAACGTACACGATTCAATTATTTTTATGAAGTGTATTCATCATTTTAGAGATTCAAATTTATTTATTGCATAATAAATTTATCGCGATATCCTCTTTTTCTTGTGCAGTGGGTACAATTATAGAGGAAGTAGTTGGTTTTCTCTGTTTTTTTGTCGAGACAAACCTTCCTTGAGGTTCAAATTTCGTACGTTTGTTGTTGGTTCTCCTATGACAGATGCAAACATTGAACTTTGTTTCACAGCATTCTGATCTGCATTGTTTGCTTGAGTTTGTATAATCATTTTATGAATCAATTCCATGTCATCTTCAGAATAGCTTCATTTAAGACATCAAGAAATTGACTCATAAACGATCTTTCTTCCGTTTTCAGGTCATTATACCTGGTACTGCCTCAGAATCATCGCTCAGAATCGTTTCCTGTGAAACGCATTCAATTGGTTCGTCATTTATGATTAAAATATTTTCTCCTGTATTATCATTACGTAATGTTAATTCTTCATTAACGGATTTCAGGACCAAATGAAAATGTTTACACATTTTGAACTTAATCGCTGAGTCCGGGCTTGTGCAAATATATGCGTGGATACATACTTTGCATTCAAGACATTTAAATCGCAGTTGCATGTGTCATTTACTTTCGTCACTTCATAGATTTCGCTTTTATTATTTGAAAATACTTTCCATCAGTCACAATCATCATCACTTTAGTAATATCATTTATATCCAATTTCGATGAATTCATGTGCGTTGTCGTATTGCAGAAATCTTGGACGTCAATTTTCCTTTGTGATTAAAATAAGCTTATCAAAAATGTTATCACGCAAAAAACGCATTAATAGCATTTATTGCAATGTCAACTCTTTTGGCTTTCCTTTCAAATAAATGTGTTTAATGATACCATGCATGCGTTCTAAATGCATATCGGATTTAAACCTGCATATATCGATAACTGTTACACCCTCACGCATCTACCGGTCGTCGGAAATGCGAGGTAGCGGCCGGTCCTAGCTCAGTCGGTTCTACTACCCTTTCCTATTTAAAACTTGGTGATGGGAAGGATTGTAAAATAAATTCGATGACATTTAAAGAAAACAATTTGGTTACTGGTAAAGAAAAATAACATTTATTCCTGTGGACAATGTCTGTACCAGGGAAGTTACATCGATGAAAAGAAATTGTGAATAAAATAAAATAAAAATTAGAAATTAAGAAGAACTACAACTAAAGAAGAGTGGTACAAAAATTATTCTATAGCTACAATTCAAATTTGTCCCCTGAGGATCTTTCTGTGCCTCAGCGCGGCACCGCTTAACAATATCTCTAAGGGCTTATTGACCCTGATTACGTTGCCTGGGAACCCTCCGTGGCAGATGTTGCTCAGTAGCCGTGCGAGCGCGACGGAGCTTGTGGGCGTCGGGGTGTCCTTCCCAGGAATGCGGTCGGGGCGCACCCTCAACCAGCAGGGGTCTTCGCGACTGGCGCGGCTGCGGCGGTCAGTGACGTCAGCGAAGGGCCGTCTGGAGGCTGTTCGGCGGAGTTTGAGAATGCCGGGTGTATTGGCCCCGATACAAGTGCGGGGCACACAAAAATGTCTCCCGAAGCGTCTCGGATTCCTCTCGAATAAATTCCAGCGAATGCGAATTTTGAAGCTAATAAGCAGTGGCAAAGGATTCGCCTTCCCCCATAAGTGCCTTTGCACTTCTCTCTAATAATAACTTCAAGTGAATGCCAGTCCTAGAGGTGCACCCACCCTGTTCCGCGAATGCATCCCCTGGAGGTGCACTCACTCTCCCGCGACTGGCTCCTGCCTAGTGCGATTTTGTCTCTCACTCAATACGAAGTTAATTTTATCCCCACCCTTTCTCCTCGTATGTTCGAGTTCACTTTGACGGTCACGTCGCTATTGGCCAAGGTAAATGGCGTCTTGCACAAATTTTGGCCATAAACTCCGTCAGATCCTGGAAATTATCATTCTCTCTTTCCGTCCCTCCGTGGTGTCTTCTCTGTCGTCTAGAAAGTAGGCCACGTCTCGAAGGGGCTTCCCGGCTACTGAATTATTATCTTGTGTATTCCCCGATCACGGTGACAAGCATTACTAAAACGTTTCGGACGGGATCGCAGCGGAGCGCCTGACAATTCACCCTTCTCTCCGGCCGTCGGGTGCATAAATGCCGAAATGGGTCAGGGGGCTCGTGGCTGTTGCAAAAAAAGGGTGTTGCGTGTGACGCCGTAGGCCCTTCCTCATAAAATTCTTCCTTAAATTCAATTTTTTATTTAATTATTTAATAATTCTTTGTACCGCTACAACAAAAGCCCAGTTTGACACTGTTCGGTGGCATTCGTTATAAAAATACTCTCCGAATTCAGCAGTGTTTGGATGCTCTTTAGATTCTCACTGCTTCTTGGAACATTCGATCAAATGCAATTTGATCCCCTTTCTTCCATGAAGTGCGAAGAACTTTATACACTTCGGCTTGTTTTTTTCTTTATTGCCTTTCACTTTATGCAGATTTTTTCTCCACGCTTATCCACATGCTAGGAACAAAATAATTGGAACTTCGGTTTTTCCATAACATCTAGCCAGGCATTATAAACTCATCCGCCATGTCAGTCATAAAAACGTTGTCTTCAGTTTTTCGCCAAGTACATCTTAACATAAGTAACATTACTTTAAGCATTTCGCAATCAGTACGGTTGGAAAACATGAATAGTACATGGAAACCTTGATTTAAGTCGTCTAAACAAGTAAAGTTGTTAACTCAAACCGTACGAATTTAAACCATGTGTTACTGTCCATATAACACACTCTCCCCAAATCGCTTAACATTTCGCACCGTGTGTCATTCATTATAATTAAACAAAGTCATCTTCTTCAACTGTGGAAACTCTTTGAAATTAACTTGTGCTTGTAGAAATAACAACCTCACACTTTTTTAAATCTCCTCAACCCAGGAATGCACACTGGTACTGTCATTATTATGTCTGACACCTTCGGCTTTCAAATTACAATCTCTTGCAATATTATGAAAATATTTTCTTGTTATTAAATCACGACGTTCTAATTCATCAGTAGAAATAGACCTCTAAGATTATCTAAAATATTGTCAAAAGGTATTTTCAATGCAATACTTTTTGCAATTTCATCTCTTTCATCTTTAGATAATCTCAGACGACGAGTTCACATTTATGGCCAACATGAGTTTTAAAATATTCTACATTACTTCACCTCAAGGAAGATTCAATACCTCCATTCTAGCTG